GCACTAAGGATGTCTGACTAACAGCTTAGGCCCCATCCCCTGAGGAGTGGGCCTAAGCTAGCAGGTGGACAACCCCCAAGGGGTTCCGAACTGCAAGAGGATGCAGGCTGGACTGAGGGACGCCCCCCCCCCCGCGATCAATAAAAATATGTTTTTTAAAAAGAATTTGAAAAGATTAATATTGAAACGGGAATTATGTTTGCGATAGAATTTTTTTTATTTCCCTAAGATAATTCCATTAGATATGTTCAGAGCAACTCCATGGGAAATACTGCAGAAAATTTCCTTCAGATAGGATTTGACCATATATATGGACAGTCACTGTGTGAGATTTAGGAAAGAAAATCCCTCTGAGGAAATAAATACTTTAAGCCATGTGTCATTTCACATGTTCTAATATTATCAGCTTTCTGAATTATAGAGAGTTCTGTCTCCACATCTCCCACCACTGCCCAAGTGTTCTTTAGGCCTCATCATATCTGGAAATTCTCTCACTGTCAAGATCCCAATAACAGAAGCTCCATTTTCTGGTGATAAATCTCTCCTCCCCTATCTCATATTTCTAAACCCCTATTGATCTTGGTCATCAATTCATTATCGATTATCATCTTTTGACCTTGTGCTATTTTACAGCCCAGCAGTGCTTTTCTGGCTGCATTTGTTCCTACCCAATAAGAAAAATAATGGCCAGATATTTGAAGGGCATAATTTTTGCTACTTTAGAATGCCACATCCTTATGACTGCCATTCCTGCCTGGCACATCCTCGGTTTGGAGTCTCTGACTGACTTGTGCCTCTGTTCCTACCAGGAAGAATGCTGTGAAACTATACCAACTGAGCCAGCATATCAGTGGCCATTTAAATAATTTCTAAATCAGAGACACATTTCACTTGTGAGAGTGAAAGTGTCCGTTATAAAACTGGTATAAACAGCTATCTCAGAGAAACCAGGGTGTGTCATCATCCCTAAAAAGGTAGACCGTTTTCCCATCAGAATTAGCCTTGAATGGACCTTAAAATTCTCTCTCTCTCTCTCTCTCTCTCTCTCTCTCTCTCTCTCTCTCTCTCTCTCGTTCCCTAATAGGCATTTCCAGTGTCAGTTTTAAGTCAGAGCCTCAAGAAGCGAATTTCTTCTTCCCATCCCCAGTCCAATTCAACCAAAATCTATTACTTTCTCCGTTGATGAGAAGATTTAAACCCCACCACATAAAAATTTCTCTCTCTTAATAGTCATTTTCCTTGTCTAACTTAAAAGCCTTTTAATTCTTACTCAAAATTGTATTTATACTACTTCATTGACTTGCTTTTGCGGCGAGAAGGGATAGAGACTGGGGCCATCAGAATGTCTTGGCTTTCCTCTGATGTTACTGGTCACAGCCTCCCAGAATGTAAGAAATAACTGTTTTCCAACTCACAAACCTAAGTCATCATCTAAAAGTTTTAGAGTAAAATTTGCTCATACATCATGATTGACTCAAGCATGCCTTAAGTGATTGGCATCCCCCAAACCACTTTCTATAGATCCAATGGTTTTTAAATAAGTATCTGAAGTTTTCAATGTTACCTCAAAGTTAGAAAGTCCAAAGCTGAATTTATTTTTGCTATTCTGCCTACAAATTTCCAGGATCCAGTGTAAAAACCACTATGTTCCCTTATTTAGTCATAGAGGTGAAATCTTGGATTAATTGTAGATGCTCCCTTTTTGGTATCTCCAGATAAAGTTAGTCACGAGGTCTTATAAGTTGTTCTTCCACCACCACCCTCACTCATATCCCAAGTTGTGCGTTATTAACTGACGCTCTGTCAATTAGGCCCACATAGGATGCCAGAATTGTCTTAAAGCTTAAACACTGGTCATTTGAGCTATTGACGAACTTCTGTTTCTTCTCTTGGAGACTGAAATAAGTACGGACTCCTTAGCTTTGTATTCAGGGCTTTCCTTTCTCTGGCCTCAAAACATACTCCCAGTTGTATTCTCTCACCATATTTCATACACTATCCAGATTGGATGGCATTGTTATGTCCTATGTGTTACCAGATGTTCATTTTGCTCCTCTCTCTCTAAGGACATCTCAGGTTGAAATTCCATATTCTTAAGGCCTTTATCATAGTCAATCTCTTCCATGAGATGTGGCATATTCAATTGCCAGGTTTGAAATCTTTTTAAATTCCCAGTAGCGTTCTGTTCTTACTTATTTATTTTACTCTGTTTCATAAACATTATTTGCATACTTGTTTAACCCTCCTCATAGAGTATTTTCTAAAGGAGAGAATATATGCGTTACTTATTATTTGAATACTAAAACACCATGCTTACTTATACTAGTCAATTATTAAGTACTTACTGAAATTATTATATGAATGTGGCTATTTGAATATTGTAGAAATATGTGTATAACTGTAATGTAAAAATATTATTAGATTTCTGCAAATAAAGTTGTTCCTAATAATCGGGTAGCAAGTATCATTATACCTAACAAATAGTTGAACTGGTTGCTGCATGAAGAAAGTACAGGATTTATTCATAAATACATTCTAGTCTCTGATAGAGCTGAGAGGATATACCCGATCCTTTATATTCCTCTCATCCTGCTTATGTTAAACAGAGCTCTCTATATGCATGCAAAATGCTGCAGTCATTCATTAAATAGATTCAATCTCCCATTTTCCTTAAATCATCACTGACTTGAGCTTAACTGTTTTCTCAATTTAGGCCTAAGAAAATTATGGCCAGTTATTCATTCTCTCATTAACCTAAAAGTGAACTATATTTCATTGCTTGTAGGATGGTATGGGAAATCTGAGAGTCACCAAGAAGGGAATTCGACTTGAAGGTATATCTGAGTTTCTACTTCCATTGTATGTGAAAGAAATTCATTCCCGAAAGGTATGTGATACTGGCTTTGGCTTACTGTAAAAGATAATTTAGAGGTTATGTTTTAGCTTGAACTAAGAAAGTAGAATCCCCTTATCTCTTCAATATGTAATTGTTTCCTAAAGCTAAAGACTTATTTACATAAATCAAAACAATTAAACAGCTGAACAACTAGTGAAGGCTAGTTTCAAAGTAATACATTAGAAAACCATTTAGAATTAAACTATAGTGTTGTGTTTGTTAGTCTATAAAATGTGTCCCTCTATTTTCAATGGAAGTTAGAAATACACATTTACAGGAATTCCAAAAGGGGCATTTGATAAATCTTGAGCAATTTTTGCTGGAAGCATTGATTTGAATAAGTGATTTTATTTCAATATATTATATATATATATTAATGCAGATGCGTTTTCTAAGAGAAGACTCTCTCTCTCAGCATAGAAATTAAATTTATTTGGAATTTATTTAAATCAAGTAAGAATATTATCCTTTCACCTGTGTGTGTGCACTGTGTTTTATCACTTAGCAGAATGTTAAAACTCAAAAGGTTATAAATGAGAGGTTGTTCATGTTGGTTTGTGTGTTACTTCTCAGAAGGTAGTAAGTATTCTTGGTTACCTCAAAATCTAACTAGAATCTTTCAATCTATAAGGCATTCCGTGGGATATGTATGTAGTAGTTGTGGAAATAAATTTATTAAGACAGGAAAATGGAAAGCATGTGACATAAAATGTGGAAAGATTGTTAAATTTTTTTCATAAATATAAAAGTATTTTTAAAACGAGTTATATTTAAATATTACTGATATAACATCTTAGGAAATTGGGTACATAGTAAGACATAATTTGATAATTTGTTTCAAAGCCATTTTTTCACTTAAATGTCATAGTGACGACCCAATAGAACATTCTTTTATATAAAATGTTTAATGAGGATAATTATATTAACTTTTTCATTTTATCAATATTTTTTATTGATTCCAGAGAGGAAGGGAGAGAGAGAGGGGGGGAGAGAGAGAGAGAGAGAGAAAGAGAGAGAGAGCTAGAAACATCAATGATGAGAGAGAATCATTGATTGGCTGCCTCTTGCACACCCCACAATGGGATCAAAACCACAACCTGTGTATGTGCCCTGACCAGGAATTGAACTGTGGCCTCCTGGTTCATAGGTCGATGTTCAACCACTGAGCAACACTAGCCAGGCTTAACTTTAAATTTTATTTTGTTTTATGTGAACCTACAGAGTTTCACTAATATACTATATTGACTTTGGGTACTAGAAAAATATACTGAGATTACTTTCTGCATTTTGGTCAGATAAATAACACAGTAGGCACATGTATGACTACCTAACCTTACTAGTACATGATTAACTATAAAAATAATTGAACTTAAAATTGATTGGTGTTTTTATTTTTATAAAAACTGAAAAATACCATGCTTACAGAGGTTAATGTCTTTCCTCTGAATGGAAGTTAGTGTTGTGTTTGGATTAAAAAATTTAATCTTTGAAGGAAGGAAAACTTGTACATGGAAATCAAGAAATTAACATGGGAAGAAGGTGAGAGTCATCATAGGCAGTAAACTTCTTTGAAAATTCACCCATTTTAGACCAAATTATAGTGTCTGCCTGGGAAGACAATTTAGAGAAAGATAGAATTTACCTTCTCAGCTGGAACATTTTTCAGAGCCATGGGTGTAAACTAGGATTCTCCTAGGACAATTGGGTGAACGTTGACTCCATCTATTGACCTAATAAGAAAGAATCCACTGATTCTCTAACAGTAAAGTGTGAGGTGGTGGCCGTCAGGCTCCCTAACTTTGTCCCTGGAAAGTTTGCAACCTCAGTTCCCCAGCATTTCTAAAGCCCACTGTAGGGATCGACATCTACATGCCGCCTGTCACATCTCCAGTCCTGTTGCTGGTCCTTCCCGTGGGTCCTCTGCTCATCGTTTGCCTTTAAGTAACTGCAGAGCGAAGGGCACAGCACAGGCAGGAGGCACTTCTGTCTGCAGTCAGGCACGGGGTGTGGCTTGGGAACAGAAGAAGGAGACCCATTTACTTCCTGAAAATTTCTCTACATATACATGACCAAAAAATGTATGAAATGAAGAAAAAGCCTGTCAGTGTGGCTCAGTGGTTGAGCAACGACCCATGAACCAGAAGGTCCAGGTTTGATTCCGGATCAGGGCACACGCCTGGGTTGTGGGCTCCATCCAGAGTAGAGGGCGTGCAGGAGGCAGCGAACCAATGATTCCCTTTCACCACTGATGTTTCTATTTGTCAGAAAATGCAGTTGCCTACAGACACACACTTCTAGTCTCTCAACCTATAAATCAGGGGCTGTTCCTACTGTCTATGTGCTAACTGGCGTCCCTCCCCACCTCTAAATGTCTATAGGTATTTGGAGTTCTATTATTATCTATCACAGCTTACTCTTTTTTTATGCTTCGAAAAAAACCAGCCTTTTCTATTGTCTGTCATATTGGTGCACAGAAAATCATATCTGCTTGAAATATCTTAGAATTCAATGAATCTTTCAAAATTAACACATAGCTTTCAGAGAGTAAGAACTCATTGAACATTTGTGAAATTAAATATATAGTCTCTTCAATGAGAAGGAATAGTGAAAGATATGTAATTTGGGGCTACCTCAAATAAATGATTACATTCTGAATCAATCTTCAATGCACATGTTCTAACATTAGGTCAGATGTTTTGAAATAGCAGGGAATTAGGGCATGTAATCACCAGGCTGTTTGTTTTTTCATGTAACTGAAGTATGTTTCCCAAGATTTCATGAGTCCACCACACTAACTGCATTCCACTGATTCTTTCCAGAAATTTGGCATCATATGCAGGTCTCTGGAACTTCAAGCATTTAACTAACTTCTTCTGACATAAGCTAACCAGCCTTCCTGTTTACTTTTTTAGTTCAGTTGTTCCCTCACCACTGCCCTCCCATCCCAGCACCGTGCATGCGAGATTGATACTTGTGCCGGGGAGCCATACCAGATCATTCCAGTTTCAATAACACCCCAGCAAAGCAAACACGTTTGTTTTCTTTATGGCTCCTGTGTTAGCGGAGCTGTGAATGAGGCGCTGCGCCCCGCTCCATGCCCACTCATTTCACCGGGCATCAGAGCTCGGATGCTAACTCCGTTCTTGGTTACAACCAGTTTCTTACCTTGTGTAATCAACACTTCTTTATGGAGTTCAGACACAGAGCCATGGGGTCAGGCAAGCTCAGCAAAACTCATTCCTGGTTACCTAGAGTGCTAATCTCCGGACGCTGTCTTTTTTCAGGTACCTTTCTCCCCTATAAATCTCTTTGCTAGTTTCTTTCTCCCACGCAGACCAATTCATGCAAAGACATATCTGCCGGCTTCTATAATCATTTCCTCATTGTCATTATCATCTTGCATTTAGATGTAGAATACAGGCGAAAGTGAGTATTTCACTGCAATGTCTTTATTCGAGGTAAAAGAAAAAGCAAAACTACAAATCATCCCAAAATCTTTACACTCAGGAAAAAACAACAACACACTGTTAATATACATTGAATATCATCACAGTTTATGTTTATACATCTGCATAAAAAGATAAGTATGTAGAGAGACACAGACATGCTTTTTACAATAACATAGTCATTTAGTAGAGGAAATATACTCTGAAATAAATTAAGAGGAATTACTGAACTTAAATTTTTCTTCACAACAAGAATTCTTTAAAGCTTGTCTTTATGTTCAGAATAAAAGTTTATGAGTACCATTTAGAAGCTGGCTGCCTCAGCCCCACGTGTCAGTGTTCATTAACTCCCCGCAGTGCAATTTGAGGTGATTAGCTCCTCTCCAATTTGTCCTCACCCTTTTTCATTTTCAGTTTTCTGGACAATTATATTATTTTAACTTTGCCAGAGTTCAGAGTAATTGCATTCTGTTCTGCAACATTAATTGCCTTGGCACTTTGATCTTAATTCTATATATAGGCAGCTGCGGTATTCACCACCAGTATTCTATTATGGCTTCTCTATGGCCAAGTTCAATATTTAAGTCATCCCTCCTTACCTGTATTTCACTGTTAATTAGTTTTGTTTGTGCGTTTGCTTGCTTGCTTGTTAACTCTTGAAATATTTCATGCTAAATATGTCTGTTTTCTTTTTTTTTTTTTTCTGGGGATATTAGTAAGGGCTCATCACTTCTTTTCCTGTTAACTCACTTCCTATGACATTCTAGCACTGAATATTGGCATAAAATGTCTGAAGGCAGCCTGATACTTGTCTCTTGTTTTGTCTGATCTGATACATTTTTGCACTTTCACTTTTTCACCTCAGGGAAATTTTCTCTATTATATCGTTCAATATCTTTCAGATTCTTTTGTTGAGTCTTCACTTCGAAGAAAACAATAATTCGTATGTTGGGTCATCTTTGTCCTCCACAGCGGTCATAATGTATCCAGTTATTTTAAACCCTGTTATTTTCATCTGACCACAGTAACTGCCATTATCTAGAGTCTTTCTTCCATAGCATTCACTTATTTAAAATTTCAAAAATATGAGTTTTGCCCTTGCATTCATGAGTTTTGCTCCCCTCATTCATGAATTTTATATACAAGGATGCTGTTTTGATCCTCAGAATTTCCCTTAAGTCCACAGTCTCCTTTTAAATCCTGTTATATTGGTGACTCTGAGCTATGGTTTTATTCAATTTACTTTTTTTAATCCTAAAACTTAGAGCACTTGCTTTACCTATCTTGAATTATCCATGATGAGTCACAATTTGAGGTAGAGGAATTAAGGGCTAGCTACTTTGTTGATTTTAAAGAGATAGTTGGTGAGAAGGGGAAAACAGACTTTGACTGTTTGCTTTTTGGGGGATTTTTTTTGTTGTTGTTGTTGTTTTTTCCTATTCGAGGTGCTACAAAATGGCTTCTGCTAACCAGACACGGACTATTTTAAATCTATGAGTCTTGGTGGCCCTTTCTGCCTCTGTAGAATATTTCCAGTGGTCTAGT